GTAATGTGTGTGAATAGAGTATTAGCAATGTATGCGAGATTAGCAGCGACCACAAGTGTCAGTAATAAAAGGAATTTGGAAGCACATAGTGACAACAGGTAACACAGTCTAACAGATTGAGAACAAGCTGTATAAAAGAGGAAGTAAAAAGTAAAAGCCTGATACGTTCGTCATAGAATTCAACAGGACATGCATTAATAATAATAATAATTTTTATTTATATAGCGCCTTTCCAGGGCTCAAGTATGCTTTACAATGAGCATGCAGCAAGGAAAAAATAACACTGGAAGGGTAGACAATGATGACAAACAATAGTTAGTAGAAACCACAAAATAACATTATATAGACAGGGCAGCATACAACAAAGTAGAATCAAGCACAACGTAACACACAAAAAAAACTTAGGAATGATAACATTCATGAAATAAGTGAGTTTTGAGTGATGATTTAAGTTCAGAAATATTATTAATTCAACAAAGTGAGCGATTCACAACACTGAATGATCTGCCCCCCATTGAACAGAGGTGGTGCCGAGGGACAACGAGAAGGTCAGAGTCAGAAGATCGTAGTGAGCAAGCCGGGGTGTAGGGGAGAAGCAGGTTTCAAAGATAGGGGGAGTCCAGCCTTGCAATGATTTTAAAGCGAGCAGGAGAACTTTGAATTTATTATGATATACTACTGGAAGCCAGTGGAGATCGTACAAAATTGGGGTGATATGAGCAGACCGCTTGGAACCAGCAATCTTACAGGTGAAATTGGTAGGAATATTGCTAGTGAATGACGGAGTTCCAATCAAAATTATCTCAGTTTTGTCCATATTAAGTTTCAAAAGATTTAAATTAAGCCAATATTTTATTTCATTCACACAAGCAGAGATTTTTTTCAGTTTGGGCAGGTGTACAGATAGTGTGTATTGGATGTCATCGGCATAAAAGTGATAATTTAAACCATGACAGTGCAAGCTCTGACCAGGAGGTATTATGTAAATTATGAATAATAATGGCCCAAGAACTGATCCCCGAGGGACACCTTGTTCCAGGGGGACAGTGGGTGATCGAAAATCCTTTACTGAAATGTAGTATCGTCTGTCAGAGAGATAAGAAGAAAACCAAGAGTGAGCAGCACCAGAAATACTCAAATCTGAGAGATGAGAAATAAGTAATTCATGGGAGATGGTATCAAAGGTCAACTAGCAGAGGTATAGACTCTACCTCATTCACTACCTTTACAATTGCAGTTTTAGTACTATGGAGTTGGTGAAAACCAGATTGAAAGGGATAAAAGAGATTATTTTCGATTAGAAACGACTGAAGCTGGGAGGCAACAGTACTTTCCAGTGATTTAGCAATGAAGGCTAAATTTAAAATAGGACGGTAGTTAGATAGGGCTGAGGGATCTTGAGAACAGGGGTAACTGCAGCAGTTTTGAGTGGCAGAGGGAATGAAGCAGAGGTTAGAAGAGTATTAATGACATGAGAGATAGGTGCAGAGATGAAACAATGGCAAAGTTTCAGAAGAGAAGTAGGAGCAGGGTCAAGTCGACAGGATGAAGAGTTGGATTTCAAGATTAACTCAGAGACAGAAGATGGAGTAGTCAGAGAAAAACAAGACAGGGAATTACAGAATAGATTTGGCAGATAGCTAAGCTTTGTAGCATCATTAGAAGAGACTGGTGGACGGCATCTGTCTTTTCTAGCAAGTAATTCAGGAAGGAACAGTAAAATTCATTTGAAGCTAGAGCATCCTTGGCTGGAGGTTTTTTATTGTGTTAAATAATGCTTTTGGCCTGTTGCTTGATTTATTAATTGTAGCAGAGACAAAACTAGAATGAGCCGAATTCAGAGCAGATTTGCACTTTTTGAGATGCTTGATAAAAGCTAAATAGTGAACAGTAAGGCCGGTTTTCCTGTAGAGACACTCAAGCCATCTACCAGTAGCCCTTAGGATGCGGAGTTCAGAAGTGTACCAAAGACATATATATAGACATAAGATATCAAAGACATCAGAGAGATTTGAAGAAAAAGAGTTACAAAATGATGCAGTATCAATAGCTTAGAGATTGCAGTAGGATATAACAGTCGTAGGACATTTTGACTAGTTAAAAATCATAAAAAATCGAGAATCGGTCAAACTTTTTTTTTTTTGCCAAATCGCCCAGCCCTAATTGGTATCATGAAAATCAAGTTGCGTGAGTCAGAAGTTATCTCGATAGATGACTACAAGACCACCCCCTTTATCGTGCAGTCAAGATCTGGAGAGATACTTTCTATCTTTCTGGTGTGAGAAGAAAAAAGACTCTTGAAGAGGCACGGTGAATGGAGTATATACCATGGGCGACAGAGAATCCCTAGCCTCTGGCAGCATTTATACATCAAAGAATCAAGATGCGGGCAGCAGTTCAAGGCTCTTAGCTGAGATGGTAAATATCCAATATCCACTACGGATGTGAGGCAAAAAAATGAGGCATAAAAGAAAAGAAAAAATAGAAACTTTTGCCCGATGCATGTTAGTACTGAGCAAATAAGAGCCAATCGCAAGCGAAAACCACATTAGCCAGACCCTGAACGTCACTTCACCAAAAACAGCATACTATATAACAGACAACGCACCCAGATAGCAAGCAGTAAACGAACAGCGCAACTGACTGACAGAGCGGTAACACCCATCTGAAGAGCCAAATATGGTGGAGAAGTAACAGGGTAGAGAGCTCACAGCATCCCAATGGCAAACATACAGACAGCAAAGTTTGCTAGTGACAGCGGTTCAGTTCAGAGATCAGCAGTGAGAAACGGAGTAATCCAAACAGAATTCCAATAAAAAATTGTGAGGACTCGCCTGGTTCCCATGGTCTGTGCCGATAGCCGCCGAGGTGACAAGGTCTTCACTGGGGATCTGTCTCTGGGGCTCATCTAGTTGTCCTGGTCTCTGCTGACATTCAGGGCTGTAGAGGTCATCTCTAGGTGCTGATCCACCATCTGGGCTGGATACAGACTGGATCTGGTGGCTACAGTGACCTTGGAATAAGAAAGAAACAGACTAATATTAGCATAGATGCCATTCTTTTAAAGATGTAACAAAGACATCAGGTGTTATGGGAAGTGTTCCCGGTTCTGGTTGACCTAATTAATGCAGCCTAACAATCCTTTAATGGATTTGAATATTAGAAATGTGTTAGTGTGTTATGTGTATGCCAGGTATGTCTAGATTTAAACTGACAGAGTGTGTCTGCCTCCCGAACATCACTAGGTAGATTGTTCCAGAGTTTGGGCGCTAAATAGGAAAAGGATCTGCTGCCCGCAGTTGATTTTGATATTCTAGATATTATCAAATGGCCAGAGTTTTGAGATCGTAGCAGACGTGAAAGACTATAATGCAATAAGAGCTCGCTCAAGTACCGAGGAGCTAAACCATTCAGGGCTTTATAAGTAATTAGCAAGATTTTATGTATACATGTATAAATGTATACAATGTCTAATAGGGAGTGATAAGCCTCCGGGCTTCCAGTCTCCAGCTTCACCCAGTCAGGATGATCCCATGACTCTGCCTCCAGCTTCTGCGCCCATAATTCCACCTTGACCTGTCTGCTCCATCTTGGCTCCTCCCTTTCTCTGCTCTACCAGAGACCCTCTGCTCCTCTGGATCCACCTTGGTCAGACATCACCCTGCCTGTGTCATGGAGGTATGGGCCTTCAGCTAAGCTTCGTATCTCCACCCTCCCTCTGGCTCTCTCTTGGTCCTCAGTCATAACAGCTCTGCAACTCTGTCTCCACCTCAGATGCTTATTGCGGTGGCTCCGCTTTGTTTGCCAAAGCAGTTAGTGTCATTCAGTTCCACCAGCTCTGTCTGCACCCTAGTCCCATCTGCCGATGGCTCCATCTCTGTCAGTCATCCACCGGGTGTCATCAGCCAAGTCTCCACCATGGCTCCTTCCTCTTTCATCTCCCCCGTGGACTTTCTGACTGCTCTCTGAATCATCACCTGGCTCCTCTTGCTTCTGGTTCCTCCCACTATCATCACCAACTTGGTTCCTCCCACCATCGTCACTAGTCTCCAGCCCTTGGCCGAGCCCTCGTCCACCTCTAGAGCCCCTGCCCTCCCTCCTCAGTTGGATGTGCCTTCCTGGAGGGGGGTGTAATATGTTCTGTCAGTGTTAGTTTCATTTTCATGAGTTTAGTTTGTCTTCAGTTATCTGCTTTCTTAGTTCTAGTTTCCCATAACCAATCTGTTGTTATGGATGTTTATTAAACAAGCACAGCTGTCTGTCGGTGCAGATAGCCTCATGGGCAGCACACTGACATATAGTGCTGTTGCGCTTTGGGTGTCCAAAGTCTTGGTTCGTGAACCTTTCCCGATCCCTTCCCCTTCTTTCTGCCACACTTCTTACTTTCCTTTTTAAACTCTCAATAAAAAAGTGAAAATGCCAAAAACAAATCTTAAGAAAACAAGCATAGCTGTCTGTATTCGCTATCATTGTGTATGCAAGTCCTTCAGTTTATTTTATTGATTGTCCAGTATTGTTTGTATCTAACATGCAGTTTCATAACCTTGTGTTTTGGTTTTGAGATTACAGGTTACACCTTTTGTAGCTGGTTAGAGGATATAGGATCTAGCATACATGTTGTTGGATTTGATGATTTACATCTTTATCATTGTCTGTTGGTTTGAGCCATTAAACTAGTTAACTTGTTTTTGTTTCTTTTCACCTTAGACCTGATCCCTCTGAAAGAGGAGAGTCAAGAACCTAATGAAATGGAAGAGAAAGTTCACACTGGAGAGAGCCCTTTCACCTGTAAACAGTGTGGAAAAAGTTTCAGTCGAAAATAAATTTTTCAAGTCCACTTAAAAATCCATGCTGGAGAGAAGCCATTCATTTGCCCTCAGTGTGGAAAGAGATTTACACAAAAACATAAACTTAATTGCCCACTTAAGAGTTCATACTGGAGAGAAACCTTACACCTGCAAACTATGTGGGAAGAGCTTCTCAATTAAAGGAAGTCTTAAAATTCACATGAGAGTTCACACTGGAGAGAAGTTGTTCATCTGCTCTCAGTGTGGAAAGAGTTTTAAACAGAAAAAAGACCTTGATGCCCACATGAGAAATCACACCGGAGAGAAACCTTTCACCTGCAAACTGTGTGGGAAGAGCTTCAGACGAAAAGAAGGTTTCAAGGCTCACATGACAATTCACAAGCGAGAGAAGCCTTTTGTTTGTGGTTAGTGTGGAATGAGTTTCAGATATAAAGAAGGCTTTAATCATTGTATGAGTATTCACTCAGGAGCGAAATGGTTTAGATGTCACAAGTGCTCAATGAGTTTTTCAGACAGGAATGATGTCTGTAAGATAAGAATAATGTAAAAATTCACGTCGTACAAAAGCCTCATACATGCCCTTACTGTGAAAAGAGTTTCACGAAAAGAGCAAACCTTGAGAATCACATAAGAGTTCACACTGGAGAGAAACCTTTCACCTGCCCTCAGTGTGGAAAGAGTTTCACACATCAGGAAATTTCACTCTGGGGAAAGACAATTCAGTCTAATAAAAACATACATATGAAAAGTCATGTAAATGTCAAAATCTGTTTGTGTTCTTTGTTAAAAGTATAGCAATAGAAAATGTTCACAACAGAGCTGAAAGTGAGCTTCATCTGATTGAACTTTAACCACTTCTTTTATTTGTATTATTATATTTTTATATCCTTTACCTCTTTATTCTTCACCTGACCATCTTCTTTGCTATAGTTTCAAATATTAAGCGGACACCCTTTAATTTAAACCAGGGGATGGCAACCAATGGCACACATTGGCATGCAGAGGGATAATCACTGGCACGCGACCAATAGAGAAAACTGCATACCAATGTTCATTTCGAGGTAATCATTCTTCATAGTCATGCAGCTTTTTAGGAGCTGCAAATACTATTAAAGTGTGAGAATTAACCTGCGCTAGTCTACAGATGCGTGTGGCTAACAACACTCGTCAATGTCAAAATAATTCAGATGGCCAATCAAATCAAAGTAGGTGAGGTTTTCTGTTCACAGAAGCAGAGCACGAATGCCAGCGCAAAGTGTAAGTTTAACCTTGAAAGAGAGTGAGGTAAAATGGAAATTTCCAAAACGCAAATCATTCAATATTAATTTACTGTTTTATGTTAAAACTGTTAAATGATTGACAGCTATATCCAGTGATGCAAACTACTCAACTTTTTTTTCTCAAATATGGACATTTTGAGAGAGAGATATTAAAGTTTTGTTTGTTAATTACCTGCATCTGCATCTCTCTATGTAAACAATGAAGATTGCCAGAAATTTCTATTAAAGGGTTAGTTCACCCAAAAATGAAAATTAGCCTGTGATGTACTCACCCTCGGGGCATCCTAGGTGTGTATGACTTTCTTCTTTCAGATGAATCCAATCGGAGTTATATTAAAAATTGTCCTAGCCCCTCCAAGCCGTACAATGGGGGTAAGCGGGTGCTTTTTGTCAACAGTCCAGAAGACGTGAAATAAAGCGCACACATCCGTAATAAAACGTGCCTCACACGGCTATGGGGGGCGAATAAAGACCCCCTGTAGCGAATCCATGCATTTTTGTTAGAAAAATATCCATATTTCAAATGTAATAGACACTTTTTTCTCACTTCCGCTCTCTGACCCTGCCATAGAGAGCAAGGATATTACCACGATCAGCGCACAGAAACGTAGCAAGGACATCAGTAAAATAGTCCATGTTACATCAGGGGTTCACTACAAGAATACATTTTGTGCACAAAGAAAACAAAAATAATGACTTTATTCACCAATTCTTCTCCTCATACCGTCTGCAGCGGTGCGCCGCCATTGTGGAGAGAGTATGTGTATGCGTCTGCTTCCGCATCATGTAAACAGTAGTGTTGTCAAAAGTACCGACTTTGGTACCAGTTGGTACTTCAATTTTAAAAACGTCCAATTCCCGCTAACATTTGAGCGCTGTTGAGCGGATTCTTAAACACCGCTGATTGGCCATAGAAGCACACGGGAGCATTTGAAAACCGCATCTATCAACAGATCCCTAATATATCTGCACATAGACGGATCCGCGCTGATAGACGCGGCTTTCAAATGCTCCCGTGTGCTTCTGTGTGAGTGCTCGGTGAAGAGCGTGAAGCGATGATCATTGAAGCCAATCAGTCGTATCTGTTGAGCGGGTGAACACTATGGCCAATCAGCGGTGTTTGAGAATCCGCTCAACAGCACTCAAATGTTAGCGGAAAATGGACGTTTTAGAAATTGCAGTACAAACTAGTACTTTAATAATACTTTAATAATAATACTAGCGAAATTCAAAAACAACAAGGCAGGCTTACCGAGGCAGAAAAACGCATCGAACAGCTGGAGACATGGTCTATCGAGACGAACGCTGCTCTGATGAAAACACTCTGAAAGAACCGAGAAGTGCAAGAGAAACTGACCAACACTGAATTGAGATCACGCAGAAACATTTGAATCTACGGAATACAGGAGGGCGCGGAGGAAGAAGTTCAGTCGCTCAGTTCGTGGATTCACTCCTCAAGAATGAACTAGGACTTGACATTGATCTCCAAATCCAACGCGCACACATAGCCTTGCTCCCAAAGCCGAATGCTAATTCGCCTCCATGATCTATCGTTGTTAATTTCCTTCAGTTCGCTGTTAAAGAGACTGTTCTGAATCTGGCTTGGCAAAAGTGGATACAGATGCAGAGCCGACCCATTTTGTTCGACCATGACTACACGATAGAAACAATGCAAAAACGTAAAGGATACAATGGCATAAAGAAAGTACTGAAAGAAGAGAAGATACGGTTTCAGACCCCCTTCACGAAAATACGTATCCATTGGAGTGATGAGACACTGACTTATAATACCCCTGACGAAGCGGAGAAAGACGTGTAAACACAACGGATCCCAGAACGGATTCCTCAGGATGAACGGCTACAAAGCTGCATGACTTGGCAAAGCGCTGGCAACAAAGACTCTGAAAGGAACCTACAAGTTCATCAAAACTTCATGGTCTTGGGTGTCCCCAGAATGTGTCTGTGAAGTTTCAGCTCAAAATACCCCACAGATCATTTATTATAACATGTATAAAATGTAATTTTTGGGGTCTGTCTAAAAATGAAGCAGTCTTATGAGTCTGGCCCCAAAAGTACAAAGATATTAGCTCGGCTATCAAAGAAACAACAGGCATTAAATACAGTCAGTGTTGAGAATCGGAGAAGAACATCATGTAATTGGGTTGTTTGCTGGTAATTATCTATCTTCGGGAGCCTAGGACTTCTCCTTTTATGAACCTACTGTTAAGAGTATTGGAAGTTATCTAGATATAAAATAAATGTTTCAAAAATGTGTTTTTTCTAACATTCTAACATTTTTTCCCCTTCACAATCAATCAGGCAAACCTATAACCTAAAATAGGATGCTAAAAATATTAAATACCTTGGGGTAATTCTGACTAAAAAACAATCAGAACTATGGAATTCAGTTCAGGGCTTGGGACTGGACAATTTTAAGATTTGTCTGGGAAGGGAAAAACCTCAAATATACAACATTGCAGCTAACAAAAGACAAAGGAGGACTAGCCTTGCCAAATCTACTGGAATATTTTTACACAGCACAAATTAGGTCTTGTGTTTGCTGCATGTTATACTAAATGGAAAAATGTAGAACATGCAAACCAGGGTTTGCCTATACAGTGTCTTTTAGGTGACAAAGAAAAATCATTGGCCCTAAAAAATAACCTAGATCAAATAACATTTTCCACACTTGAGGTGTGGTTTAAATTAGTTGAGCAATGAAAAATGGTATTCTGCTTGTAAGGCACAACATTCAATTACCTGTTCACGGAGGTGGAAAGAGTTTGCATGGAAAAATCTGGTGCGTTTTTTCATTACTTCCAAAATTAAAAGTAAACAATTATCCAAACCACAACTATGCTGGAGGATGTGTGGTCAGGTCGATGTTGACCAGCTTTATATATTCTTGTGTTGTACAAAAATACTACCTACTACCTTGTTAGAGTTTAAAAAAATTTTAGGATATGGAATACCAAGAGATTTTACAACACTGTATCTTGGAAACTTTGCAGACATTGTGTTGAAAGAGGATGTGTATCTTGTGGAGATGGGATGAGGAGAAGAATTGTTGAATAAAGCCGTTTTTTTTTTTTGTAATCCCTGAACCTTTATTGCCATACCAGATGTTTACTTCATTTACTTACCCTATATATGCTTATTGAAAGACAATAAAACATTTTTACCATTATTTTTTTAGTTTTCTTTCCGCACAAAAAGTATTCTCGTAGCTTCGTAAAATCACGGTTGAACCCCTGATGTCACATGGACTATTTTACCGATCTCCTTGCTACATTTCTGGACCTGGGAACATTACAGTTGTGTTGCTGTCTATGGCGGGTCAGAGAGCTCTCAGATTTCATCAAAAATATCTTAATTTGTGTTCTGAAGATGAACTTGTGTCTTACGGGTTTTCTGAAGATGAACTTGTGGGTTTGGAACGGCATGAGGGTGAGTAATTAATGACAGAATTTTCATTTTTAACTAATATTAAATGGTTTGCATTTTGGAAATTTCCATTTTACATCACTCTTTTTCAAGGTTAAACTTACACTTTGCGCTCTGCTTCTGTGAACAGAAAACATTGGCTACTTTAATTTGATTGGCCATCTGAATCATTTTTGACATTGACGAGTGTTGTTAGCGACACACATCTGTAGACTAGCGCAGGTTAATTCTCACACTTTAATAGTATTTATAACTCCTAACAGGCTGTGACTATGAAAATTATTAAGTCAAGTCACCTTTATTTATATAGCGCTTTTAACAATACTGTAGCAAATTAGCTCTATAGGGAAATTATTATATTGATTAATTACAGTTATTTATATCAGCTGCATAGTAACTGTAGCAGAATTAAATTGCCATCAACTAATCTGCTCGTCCAGCGAATATTCAGTGTAAGTTCATATCTACTCTAAGAAAGGATATTTTCGTGGCCACAGAAAATACCTTCCTACAGTATTAATGCATTAGAGCATGTAGCTAGACTCAAAATCATAAAGGGACATTATTCACAAGCAGGACCAGAGACTCATGTAATTTGTGCACAAACGTTTTATTAACTAAACGCTAACACACATAACTAATCTAAAACAAACATACAATCACTCATACAGGGGAAAGGGCAAATGGGGCTTGATGGATGAAACCATCAGGAAAACCAGAGAATGAAGTTATGAAAAGAGCCGTTGATAACGGGGTCTACAGCTTATACTAAACCTCTGTTTCGTTTAATTAAATGTACGATACATGCATTGCCTTGGTCATTGGCGAATGTCCGGATGCAGTCTCGGATGAAAGTCTTGATGGTTTCAAGGTTTTGGACTTGCGATCACGTTCTTCTGGGTTTGAAGGTGATGAATTCCAAAGATGTTCTGACTCTATGGTGATTGGGAGTTTCTTCCCAGGTAGGAAGTAAAGAAGAGCTAAGAGAGACATCTGCTGATATCCGAGGATCTTTGGTGAATGCAAAGTCAAGGCCGAAGCCTGGCACACTTAAGGGTTCCAGGAGAGTTCTAGCTCACATCCTCATCTTCTCAGAATCTAAAAGAAGCTAAAACTCTGTGTGTCAAGGCCTGCCAGGCGTGGTTGTGCCGGCTCTGGGACTTAGTTCTCAGAAGACGAGAAGGTGATGAGAGATGAGTGAAGAGACTAAAAGCTAGGCGGGCCACTGAAGTGAGGCCTTTTAAGTTCTGTGGAGGTCACACCTCTTGGGGGTCAAACAGCCAATGGTGACTTGCACTTCTGGAGGGAAAGTTTACGACTCTTGGTCTCCGAACATGGTAATTTGCATATGTAACTGGATTGGATGTTGATATACAAACTATTAAAGATTCTTAGAACACTATTATGTTGCATATGTACCAACATATAATATACACTCTCAAATCAGAATTATCTTTACAGAGTGAGTTTGCAAATGCCGTTTCAGGTCTGTGTGATACGTGAAACTCTTTTCACACTGAGGACACTTGTAAGGCTTCTCTCCAGTGTGAGCTCTAATGTGAATCCTAAGGTATCCTTTACTTGTGAAGCTCTTTCCACACTGAGGGCAGGTGAAAGGTTTCTCTCCAGTGTGAATTCTTATGTGCTCCTCCATCTTTACTCTTTGTTTGAAACTCTTTTCACAGTGAGGGCATGTGTGAGGCTTCTCTACAAAGTGATGTTGTACAGGATTCTGAAGGTGATTTCCGTCAGTGAAACTTTTCTCTCCATAGTGAATCCTCATGTGATGCTTAAGGTTTCTTTTATATCTGAAACTCTTTCCACACTGATCACAATCAAAAGGATTCTCTCCCTTGTGAATTGCCATGTGACCCTTAAAAGTTTCTTTTCGTGTGAAGCTCTTCTCACACAGTTTGCAGCCGAAACGCTTCTCTCCAGTGTGAGTTTTCATGTGGACATTAAGGTTTTTTTTCTGTTTAAAACTCTTTCCACACTGAGGGCAGGTGAAAGGTTTCTCTCCAGTGTGAATTCTTATGTGCTCCTCCAGCTTTGTACTTTGTGTGAAACTCTTTTCACAGTGAGGGCATGTGTGAGGCTTCTCTACAATGTGATGTTGTACATGATTCTTAAGGTGATTTCTGTCAGTGGCATCGAAATGTTTCTCTCCGGTGTGAGTTCTCATGTGGACATTAAGGTTTTTTTTCTGTTCAAAACTCTTTCCACACTGAGGGCAATTGAACGGCTTCTCTCCAGCATGGATTTTTAAGTGGATTTCAAGGTTCTGTTCTTCACTGAAACCTTTTCCACACTGTTGGCAGGTGAAACTCTTTTTCATGTGAACTCTCATGTGGCAATTCAGATTTCCTTTTAGTGCAAAACTTTTCCCACACTGAGGGCAGGTGAAAGGTCTCTCTCCAGTGTGAACTCTCAAGTGACTTTTAAGATCTCCTTTTAGTGCAAAACTTTTCCCACACTGAGGGCAGGTGAAAGGTCTCTCTCCAGTGTGAACTCTCATGTGAATGTTAAGACTTCCTTTTAATGCAAAGCTCCTCCCACACTGTTGACAGGAGTAAGGCCTCTCTCCAGTGTGAATTCTCAAGTGACTTTTAAGATCTCCTTTTAGTGCAAAACGTTTCCCACACTGAGGGCAGGTGAAAGGTCTCTCTCCAGTGTGAACTCTCATGTGAATGTTAAGACTTCCTTTTAGTGCAAAACTCTTCCCACACTGTTGACAGGCATGAGGCTTCTCTTTAGTGTGAACTTTCATCTGGACTTTAAGGTTCCTAGTTTCTGTTTCACGAGTCTGCGAGTCACTCAAAGATTTTCCCCCAGTCATGAAATCATGGCATTTCTCATACTGATCTTTCTCTTCCATTTCATTCAGTTCTTGACTCTCCTCTTTCAGTGGCATCAGGTCTAAGGTGAAAAGAAACAAAAACAAGTTAACACCAGTTTAGTGGCACAAAGCAAGATAAACA